TGCGAAAGACAGAGAGAGCAGACGCACGAGGGAGAGGAGGGAGGGGAGGGGGCAGACCAGCCCTGCCCGCCTGCCTGCCTGTGGCCGCAGACCGCTGCTGCGTTCATTTAGAACGATCGACCAAATCGAGACCGGTAGGGTGTTGAGAGGGGCGAGGAGGGGGGAGGGGGTGGGCGGATAGACCAACAAACCGCACGAGAGCGAACGATACGCGAAGATGATTCATGCGGATGGCAGCGACGGCCGCCCACCGTACCCGCGCGCGCCCACCGTGGCGGAACGCGGCGCGCGTGTGTGTGTGTGAGAGAGAGAGACAGAGACAGAAGGAGAGAGTGGGTGTGTCCTAACCGCTGGTCTCTTTGTCTGCCGCAGGTGTCCATGCCCTCCCGACGGTCCGAGACGCCCTCGTCCATCCTGTCCTCCGACAGCGACATCCGATTCACCCGCAAGGTGAGCGGCCAGTACCGCTGCGGGTGCTGCGTCCTGGCCGCCTTCATCAGCTTCCTGCTCGTCGTCTCCATAGGCGTCTACCTGGGCTGTGAGTATACTTACCATCGACCTATAAATGCCATACACAAAAACATCTCCGGGCGCTGGTTTTAACTATGAAGTATTGCAGTAGTAAATTGTGCTTGTGTTCTGTTTGTCCTCTGAGTAACAACCGAGCTTACGAAAGACGTTCTGACGTGCGGGCTATTGTTCAGCTCAACCAAAACACATCGGCTCATCATGTATCAGAATGTCTTATGGTTGTAACTTGGGGAGCAGACTAAACATCATTTTGGTGACAACATCCAAAGCTTTTGGCCGTGCTGACAGAACATTTTTCACCTCGCTTCATGCTTCGTTAATTTTGTAAATTCCTGTCGCATTTTCTCTTGTTTTGATTGTGCATTTTGGTTGATAATTATTGTTCACAAACAAACGTCGCCGGCCACATCCTCGGACACTAAAGAGACGCGGTTCCCTCGGCGCCGCACTACATGTAGTGCACCGCCGAGTGCAGCGCGCTCCGCCGCCTGCCGCCCTTGATCTCCAATCTGTGGAGCGTGAAGTGGGAGCCAGCGAGAAGCAAGCAAGCGGTGGCGTCTGCCTCCAGCAGAGAGTGATGCGCGCGCCGCGCTGTGTTGTTCCAGAGGTGGACGTGCAGCACAAGGGAAGAAGAGGCAAAAGAAAAACCACTATACTCGCGCGGCGAAAAAATATTTAAAAAATCTAACCGCGGGTCTACGTGTGCGAGAGACGGACGGGCGTAGAGACAACACTCGAACCAGCAGAGGGGGCTTTCCCCGCGCGGAATTATGAATACAAATGGCCCATCCGCGTCAGCCTGGCGCGAGTGCGAGTGAGAGCGTCGCCGCGGCCCGCGTGTGATGGTGAGCGAGCGAGGAGGACAGACAGACGAGCGAGAGACCAGATGGCTGGGAGCTAGTATTCGATGCATATACATTCAGAGTGAATCCGCGCCGGGCCGGGCCGGCCCACTTCAAGGCGCCACACGTCGTTGACCGGTTTGGCGCGCTGATCAGCTAGGAGGGAGCTCCACGACGACTCCACGACGGCAGCGGCGTTGCGGCGCCGGCCGGCCCGGGACCGCTTCGTGCGAGCGCGTCGCTCTGGCAGAGCGCCCGGCTAGACCCGACCGACCCAGATTATTCGCGACTCATTGACGCCTGTCCCCCCCCCCTCTCCCTTCCCATCCGCGGACACGCTGCAGCAGCCTCCTGGTGTTACCCACGGGGGCCTAACGAGGTATGTTGCTCCCCCCCCCCTCCCCCTCTGGCTGGCCCCGCACGCCGCGCGCTGCCCCGGGACGTACCTCTACTACACATCAATCTTGGGCGGCGCGTCAGCCGAAGGGCCTCGTCATGTGAAGGGCCCCCGACCCGCCCGACTGAAACAAGCGTCGTTTTCCAATTGAATAATTTGAGGTTGTAAAGAGAGGGGGTAAAATTATTATTAAGTGACCGAAAACTATTCGTGTTCTCTCTCACTACCGCCCCCCTCATTTCCTCCTTTTTACCTCTCATTTCTCTCGCGTTCGCTCCGGGGCGGGGCAGGGCGGGGCAGGGCAGGGAAGTACCCAGGCTCCTTGACGAGCCAAGGCCGGGGCCTGCCTGGAGGTCAGAGGTCGCCGGCGACCCTAGGGAGAAAGTTGAATGTCAAGGTTTTCTCGCGTGTTGTTTGTTCGACGCCAAAATGTATGATATTACCAACAAGAAACGCGCGCTCCACGCGGCGGCGGGAGAAAGGTCTTCTCGCACAATTAGCAAAACTGGAGAAGATGAAGTAAAAGAAAAAACACATCCAAACAGGAGAAGTGGTTTGCTTATAATCCCATCCCACGCGAATAGGAGAATCTCATAAAAATGGCGAGCATCTCCGGAGCGTTTTAGCCAAACACACTCGCGGCTGGACTGAAGGCATCGTCCTGCAGGCAAAATAATATCTCCCAGCTGGAGGAGAGTTTTCACTTTGATAATGACGCGTGCACTATCCCCCTTCTCCCCCCCCCCTCTCTCTCTCCTCTCTATCTCTCTCTTTCCTAGATGCGATTGCATATCGCGGCAGTGAGGTGGATGCGCGCCGCTGGTCGGCGCCGGCAAGCGCAAGGTCATTACCCTACAAACTCGTGATGGCGGCGGCGTCTCGTCTTCTTCCCTCCACAGTCTGCTCGGGCTAAATCATAACATTTCCTGGTTCGACACAGCGGCACCGCAACGAGCAGCGCACACGAGAGAGAAAGAGAGAGAGAGAGGGAGAGAGAGGGGTGAGGTTGAGGGAGAGCACCAGATAGAGAGAGCTGCTTAGGCGAGGCAGACGAGCCACTCCACGATGACGAATTTATGTGTGTCTTGATGATTGGAAAACGCTAATGCCATCGTGTTTATTCCCCTGCCCCCCTCAATCTCTCTCTCTCTCCTTTTTTTTTTGTTTTGTTTTTTTGTTTGTCTTTCCTGTGAAGTCCACACGGGGAGAAAGGCGCGCGCTGCTCGTGCCGGGGTCAAGGTAGACTATTGATGGACGGACGCATAGTGACCCGTCACGGTGGCCCGCGGCGCCCACGGGGCTGTTCGACACGCCCCGCTCCTTCTCCCCCTCTCTCCTCTCTCCCTCTGTCCGGTAATAAGCGCTGGCCCTCCCGGTCGGCATGTACTCTGTACTCTGTACGTGCGTGTACATGCGTATGTATGTGAGGTGGGCGGCGGAAGGGGTTCGGAGCGCACCATTCAGACCGGTCAAGGGCCCCGGCCACAGCCGCCGCCGCCGCCACAGCCGCTGTATGGGCGCCAGCTTGTAGGTTCCTTATTTCCTCGTGACCCTATTGGAATATGTTGACCTTTGGCCCCCCGCACGCCCTCTCTCACTTGGAGGTGTGCCGATAATCCTTGCCCAACGCGGTCACGCCCAACTGGGTCCCGCGCCCCGCGCGGGACCCTGCGCGCTTTTGCCTTTTCAACAACTTAAAAATCATGATGGCGTCCCGTCTCTTCTTCGCCCTCTCCCAACTTTTTATCATCATGAGCCCTGAGCGTCTCCCCTTATAATTAGGGCCCGGATCGCGACACGCCGTAGCGCCACGCCGCGCTCTGGCCCGGCGCCCGGCCAGGCCCGCGGGGCCCGATGGCGAAACGGAACGTTGGCGCTGCTGCAGCAGCGGCTGCAGTCGGCGGCCTCTACAGCAACTCCCTTTGTCCTTATCCAGGCCCGCGGGGCCGCGCTGAGCCGCGCTGAGCCGCGCTGAGCCGCGCTGAGCGGGGCTGAGCCGCTCCAACGCTGACGCGCGCGGCAAACGGTCATGATTAATAGCGTCAAAACGCTCACGTGTGCGGCCGCGGCGGCCGCGCGGCATTGTCATGCGATGCATTTAGACCGGCCCGGACAGCCCGCCCTGGGCTGGGCCGCGGCCACTCCGGGCCGAGCGTTCGCTTTCTCTGGAAGCTCGGCGTCGGTCGGTCGGTCGGTCGGTCGGTCGCGGCGTGCGTGCGTGCGTGCGTGCGTGCGTACGTGTGCGTGCGCGTATGCCCCGCCGGCGCCAGGCTGTGCCCCGCCTGACCGATCAGCTGATCAGCTGATCCGGATCGTTGTCAACATGAGCGAGCGAGGGGCGAGGGGGGCAAAGAAGACAGCGAGAGAGAAAGAGGGGGAGGGGAGGGGAGAGCTGGTTTTCTCCCAATCCGTCATGTCGAGGCGAGGTCAGAGCAGCAGCAGGGGGTACGGAGCAGAGCACTAAACGAGCTCGGCGCAAAAATTGATACGGGACAGAAGGGACAGAAGTGGAGCTCATCAAAGTGGAGGTGGATAGACGAGGACGAGGAGGCGCGCGTCTATCACTGGGATAG